TATATATATATATATATATATATATATATATATATATATATATATACATACATACATACACACATAACAATGCTGATTTTATGTATTAGATAAGATCACTATTTAGCCTAATTTAAAGAAACGTAAAAACTGCCTATTTTGACTATTTGCAGGGAAAATGGATAATATTTGCAGCAATCAACAAATCAATAGACAGAAATCAACTCGACAATATGTTCAGCCATACTTTCTTGGAACAGGCAAACAAATACACATTTTGCAAAACAAAAAAGGGAGAAAGTTCCCTCTGTGAATAGAGTTTGTGAATTCTCCGTCTGCGTTTCATACTTACATATTTTCATGTCCTGCCGCCAAAGTAAACTGTACATAATTGTATTTTATTCACAGTAGTTCAGTAAAGTCACAGCAATATTTTAACATCACTCTAAACTGCCAAACGAGTCAAATGTTAACGTGCAAACCCTCGATGGTTACAAAGCAAACGGTACTTTTCCTGCTCCCTGGGGAATACCACATAGTTACTGTACAATGGATGCCTGATTACTGCAGGAGTCGTTCAGCTGACGAACTGAACTCCTGAAATCAATTCTGAGTGGATGTCTTACTCAAAACACCAAGCGCTAGTATACACTTGCTGAATGTAGACTACTTAGTTTAGGTACAAACCGGTACCCAACAAAAAGATGTCATAATAAGGCAACAAGGTGAGACAGACTCTCCCTCCACGTCATACACAACACGAGCGTTGTGCAAGTTTTAATTAGAAAACCCATGAAGCAAACAAATGCATGGAAACATGAGAGGCCGATACACAAGAGGAGAGAAAAAAAAATCCTCTGCCACTTTACATCAATATCCATTTCACTGCGCCCTTCACCTCACTGTGGTTTTTGGTTGACACGCGTTGGGATTAGATAGCAGATAAATAAACAGTGCGGACGGCGTTCTCAGGAAGAGCGGCCCTGACCGCATGTTGTGTCCTCAGCGTGCGCAGATGTGAGAATGAGACCAAACATCGCACTGATAGACCGAAGCGGTGAGGTCATTTCCCCCCTCCGAGCATGGCGAGCGGCTGTACAGGAGTCACCGCTTCATATTCAAGGCCTCTCTCATCAGACTGCCGCCGTCAACGTGGGCACATCCACGGACACACGGCGAAGAGATGGTGACGGATGTCAGGGGGGAGCCTGCGCTCGTTACTGCTCCATCAGAGCGGTGTTACGCTAACGAGTTATGGCACCCGCTAGTAAGAAAAGTTTGTCTTAGTTTTAAAAACACGATAGCGAGGAAGATGTGTGAACTGTTATAGTAGAAAACATGGCGGACGGATATATTTCAGTCCCTTTCATTCTGCTACACCGATTCCTACACATGGTGTGGCTGTGTCCAAAATCACTGCCTTGTTCACTCGTTCACTACTCCCTTTGTGATAAAAACTCAGTTTACTCTAGTGTGAAATGGTAAATAGAGATTTCAGACGGTGATTAATCATTGTCATTTTGCATCAGGCACTGACTGTCGTGTATATATATATATATACATATACACACATACATACATATACATATACACACACACATTTATTGGTTTGGTGAAGCTGGGCGGTTTTACAAACTATCACTGGCACTCAGTGCACTCCAGCTATAAAATGCACGACAGACTTTAAATTCTGTTTTAGTTATTACTATTTAGATATTGTGCAAAAATGTATTGATCTGGCAATAAGATTAGAAAATGTGGGCTAAAACGTTGCCGTCCCGGGGAACAGCTGATTTTACAGCAAGCTGACAAGTGGTCCTCATGTCATATGTTCATTTTCTCTTACAAAAAAAATGCAGCCACGTAACTATCCATTCATGAAATTAAATCACACACTTTAGGAGCCTTCAACCTTTGGTTATGAGAACTAAAGCAATGAAAAAATGGGGATGAGAGAACAGCATTTATGTGCAGTCTGTCATGGGTGTGCTCTTTTGAGAACAGGGTCGGTGTGTTTGTATGAAAGAAACTCTGTAATAAAAGTGAGAAAGAAAAAAAAAGAGCAAGAGTTGAGCTGGGTTACCTCAGAAGCCCCCCTGCCCTTTCAGCAGGGCCTCATATGGAGAACCAGGCCTCAGGTCCCCTGGGCACGGATGTCTGCTCTCCACTTGACTCCTCCCAGCAGTCAGGCTACTGAGGCTGTGCAGGAACCTGGCCCACTCACGACACCTTACAGCCACAAGTCATTCACACCTGGAAACAGAGAGGAGACAACTTTGCTCATCGGGTGAAACGCAAAACAAGACAAATGGCATGGAAAAGCACTCAGTCACTCGTGTTGACAAGACCAACAAGTAGCAAACACGACCGGCGCAAAGCGTAGGTCATTAGGGGCTCACAGCAGCAGTGTCTAGTCGCCTTGTTTTAACCCGGACACTCATTTATACTTCAGTTATCGACCGCCTTGCACATAAGGGACTACAAAACAGTGTATGATACTCTACCGAGAGCTTCCTCGCATCTTCGCATCAAAGAGGACTTCACTCCAAATATCCACCGTGGGAATGAAAAGGAGACACCTCGATATTTCAAAAGAAAATAGAGTAGAAGTAGAGATAAATATAAAAACGTAGCGTTAAAGACTATGCAACAGATGCAACTCGGTGGCAGACAGCAGTGTCTGCCTAGCAATTGAAGAGACCAACCGGAGTCCTGGAACAGGAAGGTCTCCACTGCAATGTCAGCCACTGGCAGGTAAGCCTTAAGATGGCCCTCAGACGAGACACCGGGGGCCCCTACCTGCTAACTCAGGGCCGCTCTGGATAACAGCATCAGCTACAGGACTAGAACACAAACTGCAACAAAGCACAAAAGCCACTGGAAAAAAAACACAGCATGGAGGCAAAATGATGCAGAATACACCTTTACCACGAGTTTATTTTTGAGTGCATGCTAAATGTTTTATTAAAAGGAAAAAATAAATGACTTAGGGACACTTACTATCATCTGTTTGCCACCAGGTGTCATTTACTAAACCTTTTCACACTATAGGACCTGTGGATTCTGTTCACTCGCAAGTCAATTACAAAAATAATAGAAAATAAAGAATAAAATTGGTAAAAACAGAAAGAGTCAACACATTATTTGCCATGTTCTGCTCTCTTGGTCTTGCCAAAGCAACACAGCACAAAGCCACACAAGTTACTCACAAACAGGCCTACTCGAGGAAGTCGTCCTAAAATACACACAGAGACATCTACGAACCTAAAACTCTCCAAATAAACCGTAAAGCACACAACTACTGCACAGACTAGACTTCCCCCCCTGAAATCTCAGCGCCTCACTGGACAACTCTTGGCGGACAAAGTAATTCCATGGCGCTTGAAACTCCAGGAACTTTTTTTTTTTTTTTTTTTCCTTTTTTCCTAAAAGAAGTTGTTCCTGTTTCGCCAGAGAAGTGGGGGGGAAGGGAGGACTTCAGCACTTGCATTCATGGAGCGTCGGCCAGCGCAAACAAAGTCTTCCCCGAAGAGGGAGGCACTGGACGGCGGCTGAGAGCGAGAACAACGACATCGGCCACAAGCACACACACACACACACACACACACACACACACAAAAATCAAACACAAAATGAGATTCCTTTCATGGCTTTGTCCGCCAATAAAACAATTCAGGCCCTCCTTATGCAAACGTTCATTTTCAAGTTCTGCTAGCTCCGATAACAATGTAACAATTAAATCGCTCGGCAGATGATAGGGCTGGCCGACACAATCAAGCAGCCGAGGCCTATAATGTCGCTACGCGTTTATAAATCATATCAAGCACATTTGTAATGAAGGAAATACAATACCAGCGGTGTGGTACGTCCCGAAGAATGCACAACATGCATGCTGCATTGTATCCTTTTTTCATTTTCACGAAGCACGGGCGGTCCTCTGGTATAATTGGGTAAAAACCAATATTTCTCCGCGGCTTTTACACCATGCTGAAAACATCCTGAATAATCCGCTTTTGGTGCGCAGGGGGGGGAATCGGCATTTACGGTCGAACGGATGCTCACTGTCTGCCAGACCAGACACGACGTGGGTTCGCTAGCCAGCCTTCGGGGACAGAGGCAGGGAAGAACGGATACCGGAGTGAGATGTCCCCGGGAGGAGGACCCGCGTGTGCCCGTTGCCAGGAGGCGAGCTGTGGAACCGACACTTTCCACCTGAATTTGACAAAAAGGAAGACTCACCTGGAATGTTAGCTTAAATCCCGTTTTTCCTCGAACGACGGATTCATACCGTGCACTAATCAAATCACAACATTATCACGGGAACATTATAAAATAGAAATATGTCTCCCCCCTTTCGCCGGAGCTTTCCAGTGGTCCTACTCCATTACATCCCAGTCAAGATTTCCTGTCGTCTCCCCCCCCCCCTCCGTTCCAGCGCGATGGTTTAGCCCGAATTCTAAGTAGCAATTCTAGGTCAGGTCTGTGTGCCAGTGAGAACGTTACTGTCGGACAGCAGCGAGACGTCCACTCCATGTTACACGGTAAACACTGTAGGCTAACATACGAATACACAGAGGAGGACTACATACGGATACTCTAGTTTAAACAAATTGCAATTGTTATTTGCGGAGTTGCACCATTGTCTTTGTGGAGATATCAAACTTCCCATCAAATAACTTTGCATTAGTTATCAGAATCAAACTTGAGGAAGTTCCCACATGACAATGTTTTTTAGTAAAGCAAATAAACAAATAAAGAAGTTTATTATTTTTCTTAAAGTTGATGATTTCCTTGTCTTATCATTTCATGTGATACCTTAAGGTTTGGACTGTTTGTCAAGACAGATGAAACGTCACCTGTCTTTAGGGATTTGTGATGGGCATTTTACAGTAACCTCTGATAATACAGATCAAATCATTTATCAAGAAAAAAAATGCAAGATTGATCTAAAATCCCTGCAGCGCTGCACTGTCACTGCTGACATTTAGACATTTTTAGAATTAACATTCTGGTTATTTTCCTTCTAGATGTTTTTCTCCATTAATGAAGCTTTCAATTTAGTCAGTAGTTAGTGTCCTGGTCTTTTCTTTTTTTTTTAAAGAAGTACTTACTGAGCTGTATTTGTATTAAAGGAGTACATACATCTAGTGCACTTCCAAGAAGCAAAGCAGCAAAGGTCGCAGTGTCCAGTTTTTCTTTGCTCCACAGTATGGGTTCCAAAAGCCCTTAATCCTACATTTCCCACAATGCAACCATCCTTTCATTGATCCTCCCTACCTGGCAAATGGCCATGTACTTCAAACTCCACCCCCAGTTTGTGACTTGTGTTTTCTTTTGTAAAGCTCACACTTTTACCAAACCCTAAACCCTGATGAAACTAACCTTTAATGTGTAACATCACTTAGAGCTCCCCTATAAGACACTCGGTATCAGTTTTTGTACTCTAACGAGTAACTTATCATTCATCATTTACTTGCTGGGTTTATAGCCCCCAGATCATCATAGTAGTGGTCAATATGATGCAAAATTGAATCATTCAAAGATAATTCAGTTGTTGTTTTTTAAATGGTGAAAGAAAGAAAGAAGATGGATAAAGAAAGTATTTAATGCATAAAAGCCCTGTAAGCATTTACAATTATAAACAATTTGTGTTGTGCTGTTGAATTGCATTGCATTGCAATGAGAGATGTTTGTTTGCATTTTGTCCCCCCAATTTATATCAATGAGAGGTGGAAGTCATTAATGATGCATGTGATTTACCCATTTAATGTTATGAAAAACAGATGTAAAAGACAAAAATCCTCATGATCATAGAGGATTCTCATATTCCTTTTCTTTATGCAGGGTTACATCCAGTTTTAAAAATGTTATGATTAGTAAAGTATCTAATGGCATGAAAAAATATACTGATCTACCTTTGACAAATACAATAAAGTCTGGCTACAACACACACACACACCCACACACATTCAGGCCAGCTAATATTGTGTGCAATTAAGCACGAATTCATTCAATCCCCAGTTGTCATGATTATACATTTGGGTTAGATTTGAAATGTATCTTGATTAAATATTGAGAAGGACCAATCTCACATTGCATGTTTTTAATGTTTCACTCTTCCTCTGAGGCTTGTGATAGTATAAGAGTGTGTGTGTGTGTGTGTGTGTGTGTGTGTGTGTGTGTGTGTTCCTGTACTTCTCTGAGAACTGATTCAGACTCTCAAAGTGAATATGTCTTTTCAAACTGAGACATTCTTCCTTAAGAGGCTGTTTGAGGGAGAGGGGCTCGGTTTTATGTGTGAATAGCAGACTAACTGTACAAGGAGAGTGTATTATATCTTTTGACTTTTTGAGAGGAGTTGCATCACAACATTTAAGTTTACAGCAGGGCTTCTTTTGCTCCCAATCTTCAAAATAGGCCCATAGTAATGACAGATTTCAACTGAACACAGGAAATAGGGGTGCCATGCTAAAAGTTGTTTGGGTTGCATGTTTTGCGCTCAATAATTTCAACCATCATTTAAGGCTGCAACCGACGATTATTTTCTTTACTTACTAAACAAGCAAATTCTTTTCAGACAATTTCAGACAATAAAATGATCCTCGCAATTTCCCAAAGCTATTGAAATTGCTTGTTTTGTCACACCAATGCATCCAAAATCCAAGACCAACTATAGACGTCAAAGACGACTATAACCCAACAAATAATCATTATAGCTGGCACCGCTTGATCTTTTGAATATTTAACTTGAAATCTTACATAATTATTACTTAACTAGCTCTTTCATGAGTTATTTGAGTTATTTGTTATCCTAGTTAGTTATTTGGTTGGTTTGACAAACTTGTTAGGTGTGTTTACATCCCTCATGTCTCTCTGCAGATAACACACATGGCTGTAGAGCATCAGCAACGCGGGGGGCCTTTTACGACAGTGAGCATTGTGGGATGACACACGGTACGTAGGACACAAAATAATAGGATGAGAGCCGCATATTTGTGACTTTTGACAAGCAGGCCATGGCTACGTTGGACGTGTTCGTGCATGCTAGCCGAGATCAGTGACACACCACAAAGCCCTGTTTCTCTCTCTGTCTTACACTCCCTCTCTCTCTGGTTCTCTCTCTGTGTGTGGGTGTGGGCATGTGTGTGTGTGTGTGTGTGTGTGTGCGTGTGATAAACCCCACTGGTGGAGTAACAGTAGACTGGCAGTATTCCCAGACTGGGTTGCATTAGACATGCACACTAGCAAAGCTCTTCAGGTCGATGTTCTGGCTCTCCAGCCCTGAATCTCTCTGGCATGACTAACCCAGAATACTTTGGGCACGGGAAAACAAAATCCGAATTCTGCCCAGTGTTACATTAAAACAACTGGAGAAAAACTGAATCCTATTGATTGCGAGTGGGAGCGCTATGTGTGGTTGTGTTTGCTCATCTGTCTGCCTGCATGTGTGGGGGCGTGGGCGTCATCTGTGTGTGTGTGTGTGTGTTTAAGCAGGACACCAACATTGACTGTTCACTCATCATATTACCATCTGCATTATTTAAAGCTTCGATAAACAGTGTTATGCTGTGGAGACACACTGTAGACACAGAGAGGAGGGGTCAGGTGGTGGGGTTGGAGGTGCGATACATTTTATTGGTACGGACAGTGGCTCTGACAAGTTAACATGTAGAATATTAAGAAATGACAGTAAAACACCTGGCCTCAGACCAGTGGCTGGAGGAAAAATAGGATGCCGGGTGGGTTTGAGTAACGGGGGCGTGTACTGTATCTTTAGGGGCCCCCTGTGTGGGCCAACAACAGGCTACAGTTTGTTCATTAACGGGTTTGGTGGCGGTGCTGCGTAGAACGCCAGGACCGGCTGGGTTATCAAAATACTGAGACAGTGAGCTCACTCACGCAGCAGTGAGGTCACTTGCCAGAGTGTGGCAGCCTGACCAATCACCAGTCAGCCTATTATCATGGCATGCAGTGTTGCTATGAGTAACAGAGACAAGCACTGCCCTGTGGATCCTTAATGATGGTTGATGCACCGAGATGCTACCACTTGGCCTATCTCACTCTATTGTATTTCAACATCATTTCCTCCCTTTCTACCCTGCAGTCTCTTTCCCTCCCCCTGTGTTGACTGTCCCCTGCAGCAGTGTTTTCTGACTTCCCCGTGGCAGGTGAGTGTAAACAAGCCGGAGGACTAAAACAATGTTAATTAACCGATCATTAACGAGTCAAGGCAGACCCCGGAGATCTAAGCAGTTGCCCACCCACCTGCGTCTCACCATTTCACTAACTGGACTGTTAATGACTAATCAGAGGCGAGAGTGATTAGATCGCCTCCTAACGAGAAGGATTTATGATTGCACGTGTCTCTTACACTTATACGGCTGAGGCCGGAAGTGAGCTCAGATCTCGTGGTGGAACAGTAATCAGGTCCTTTAATTCAGTAAAAGGTAAAAGAAAAAAAGGGGGAAAAAGGAAAAGTCCTGCAATGAAGTGTTATAAGCTAAATATACTTAAAGTAGCAAACATGCAGACTGATATATTATGCATCAATGGGTTTGTAACATTGTGGAACATACTTTATGTACTGTTTGCTGGTTTAGTCCAGTGGTTCTCAACCGAGGGGTTGGGCCCCTCCAAAGGGTCACAAGTTAAATCTGTGGGGTCGTGGTTAAAAAGAAGGAAAGAAGAAAAGGCTGTTTGTTCAAGATCTCTTTGGGCCTCAAACAGTTAAGGGGAAAACGTCTCTTCGGTGTAACTGCTAATAACCCTATCTCTTAGAATTTTATATACAATGAATTTGCAACAGATGTGTTTTGTAGAAAACATAATGCTACTATTGACATAATGAGAAAATGTTGGAAGTTGTTGATACTAAACGTATTAGTAAAATGTTCACCGATGTTTTGCACCAAAATATCCGATCTTGTGATTCAATAATCACGAGTGACTACGGCACTAACTGGCTTCTATTAGATAAGATAGATAGCTAGCTGCCAGGGATGGGCATAAGTAACCTTACTTGAGTTCTTGAGTAGGCCTGATCGATTTAAACGTCAGTATTTGTTCAATGCAACATCATAGAGTAATCGCGTTCAGAAATTGTGTCAATTTAGAGTCAAACTTTCTGTCACATATTTCTGTCACACTGGTTGTTACAGAGGTACCAGCACGTGGCCAGTCCGACCCTCCAGGGTGACTGATTGCAGTTAGCATGTTAGTATGCTGA